AAAACTCTGTAGGTACGTAGTAACATTGACAGTAACATTGTTATTCCAACTCGATTCCTTTAGTGTCCTGTTCTGAAACCACATTTCAATCTCAAGCCTCAGCTCGAACCTTTCCTCCAAATCCAAATTATACCATATTTAGTACCGTTTGGTACCAAAAACTGAACCTCACACGGATTTTCATTATGTTTTTCAACCGAATTCGCTGAAATTTTGTACCTTGTGTTCAATTGAATACCAAATTTCTCCACTAAATATTGTAAATATAGGTCCACTTCTTCAGTATTTTAGGTGGTTTTAGGTGGACGTATTTTTCTATCGAATTGGCTATAATTTAGTATTTTGAATTCTTATAAGGTAGCAAATCTCTCCACTAAAAATTGTAAAAATAGTTCAATTTTTTCGGGTAGCGTTTCAACCGATTTCCCTGTAATTTGGTATTTTGTAGTTGTATATGGTAACGAATTCCTCTTGCAAAAATTGTTAATATTCGCACTTTTGTATGAAAGTTTTGCAAAAATGTACGGTTCGAAATTGAGCTATATCGGTGCTCAATAAGGCAAAGTACATCATGTAATCAATATTGGTCCCGCATTAGGTACAGTCTCCAAGGACGAACACATACATTTTTTGTATGAAAGTTTTCATATAGAACCCCGCCCTTCGATATGAAATCCTGTGTACGTTGGTGATGGCCTCGAATAATTTTGCCCTCTAAATTACAGTATTTTGAGGATTTTATACACATGTTTCTCCCTACCATACGTCGTCAATATCGGTCCACGTTTTGGTTTTAGATTTAAGGAAAAATCTCAATTTAAAATTGCTGAAATTTATATTTGTTAAACGAACTGCCGGACTTAGCGACTTTCTCATTTGTTTTTTTTTTCAGTGGATTTTTAAAAATCTGTTTTTTATCAACATATACGTCGTGGATTTTTTAGAGAATATTTTTTTCTGTTACCTTCCAAAAAAATTTTTAAATTTATTTTATAACCAGTGAATATTTCTAATATTCAGTACAACCCTTCTAAACAATCACAAAAAATTAAGTTTTCGATCCACTTCATCCCAATATTATTATCTGATCATCACCGAAAATTATAAGCGTTGTCCTTGACCATAACTGGAACCTCATGGAACATTTTAAAGCTATCAGCGTTATATTTCCGCCCTCCAGTGTGGTAATGGGTTACTGCACAATATCTGAATACTTACGTATTTACCTGTAAATATTTAAATATAACTCCCACATCCGAGTACATACGACAATAAATTTGATATCAATTTAAAGACTAACCACTCCTGTTGGATATACTACCATCTTCTCGGGTCTATGACCTTCAGCAGTAAACATATAGGATCTTCTTTGGTCCAATACCTTTCTCCATGTAAAAATTCGCGATATTTAGGCCATAATTGCGGACAGACGGACACACATTTCTAGTTCGACTCAGCCAGTCGTGGGTCTAGGACCAATATTTCGCGGCGTTACAAACTCTTTGGACTGCACAAAGCTATAATACCCTGACAAAATAGTTGTGTAGAGTATACAAATTGCTTTCATAATGTTATTACGCACACTTCATCTCCATGTTAATCAAATGTCTGCCTAATGATTGTCATTCACAACGGGTCCATGAAATTCATCACATTTTTAAATAGTTTTATCTTTACAATGTACTTAATTCTAATCTAAGTGTTATAAATGTGTGCATGTGCAACTTTTATAAAAAATTTGCAACTATTATAAAAATGATAATTGCAGAATTTATAAAAACAAAACATGTTCACCAACATTTTAACATGCCAGTTGATTGGCAATGTAAATAAATCACAACTACTGGCATACTAATAAAGATAAGCCTAACTTCGAAGTAGATTACGTAGGATAAGCAGATTTGCTCTGCTATTAAATTACACATTCAGTAGTAAGTCAAATGGGACAACAACATTTAGTCATATTGAAAAGTTAAAGATAATAAAAATATATTTGAGATAAGGATTTCATTGGGACAATTTAGAAGATCTCTCTTAGCTATGGACCAAAGTTAGGTAGGTGTAAATATTTAGAAAATAAAAGATCCGTAAAAGGTAATTCCATTGCTGAAGGTCCTTCAAGGTTATTTTTGAGTACATCAGATCTGTCAAACTTCTCGAAGTTATAGAAGACCTGCAGATTTTTTTCTAGCCTCTAAACATACCTTACGATCTGCCTATATAAGGTCCAGCATCTAACGATTTTTTTAATTATTCAATAGATTTCATCTAATCTATATTTTCTGATAAAACCTCAAGTCTCTTAGTCACCTTGTATAAACCTTGAAAAAAATTCTCTTCCACCTGTCATTCATTTCCTTCGCCTTTAACATTTGTTTCCCTCTACCCAATATTCATATCAAATATTTTACAAAAAAAAAAAATTAACCACAAACGCATATCATATTGCAGCGTCATCATTGATGCAACGAATTTACACATGAATTGCAGTCATGTGAATGTTTCACAGCCGGACAATTTAATATACCCTCCATAGTATGGAGGGTATATTAGTTTTGTTTTTCCGTTTGTAACGCATCGAAGTAATCATTTCCGACCCAATAAAGTAAATATATTCTTGATCAGCATAAAATTCTATGACGATTTAAGCATGTCCGTCTGTCCGTCTGTTGTAATCACTCTAGCGTCTAAACGAATTGAGATAGATCGCCAAAATTTTGGGATATATCGGTCCACGTTTAGGCATAGCTCCTACATTAGGGTACCCCCAAATTTTCGGTATTTTGGGGTTCTTGAGCGCGTTTTTCAACCGAATTCGCCAAAATTTGCTACATTGAGTTCTTATTGGGTACTTAATATCTCCACAAAAAAATATAAATATAGGTCCACTTTTTCTTGTAGCCCCCATATAACGGTACCTCCTAATTCACAGTATTTTGGGGGTTTTGCTCGTATTTTTCCGCCGAATTAGCTGTAATTTAGTATTTTGTGTTCTTAATAGGTACAAAATATCTCCACAAAAAATTATGAATATAGGTCCATATTTTCGGTTAGCCCCCATATAAAGGTACCCCCAATTTTCGGCATTTTGGGGTTCTTGAGCTCGTTTTTCAACCGAATTCCCTGAAATTTGGTATTTTGTAGTCGTATATGGTAACAAATCTCCCTACCAAAAATTATTAATATTCGCCCCATTTTTTGGGGTAGTCCCCATATAACCCCCTTTTTATACCCTCCACCATAGTATGGAGGGTATATTAATTTTTTATATTAAAATAGTTATCTGATTTGTTCCGCGATTTGAATTTGGTTCTGAGACTCTGTTGTAATCATTTCACCTGCAGAGGATAGCGAGATTAAAAATTAGAACGTAAGGTTCGATAATGAACTATAGCCGCATTTATATCTTGCCCCTGTGTGGAGGTTCCAAAAGGAGTGAACGGATATTCCCCATCTTCAAATTTGGAAGAAATAATAAGATGGGCAAAGTTTGGATGAAATCTAAATTTTCTGAAACGGATTTTGTCCAAAGAAACATGAGGTCTAGAACCAATATTTCGAAAAAGGCACATTTCCACCGTGTTAATGTGTATACACCCTCATTAGCCATAAGGCTGAGGGTATTATGGTTTACATAATCCACTTTTTGGTATGTTCCCTATATTTTCATTTCTAGTGCCTGTCAGTATATCTATGATGGAGGGTATCCAATGTTCGGCCCGGCCGAACTTAACGCCTTTTCACTTGTTTTTTTTTCAATTTGGAATGAAAAACCAAAATTACATTTTCAACGGCAACAACAACAAAAATTGTATCGACTTTACTGTCAATACGACATGAAAAAACGACGAACATATTGATATTGCTGAACATGTTTCGTTGTAATGTTGTTCTTGTTGTTGTTGCTGTTGTTAATATTCATTTTCATATTTACACTCGGCTATGTTTAATATTCCTGATTTGCATTGATTTGGTATTATGGAGATAACCCAGCAAACATAATGGAAAAGAAACAAAGGCGTGGATTGTTTTTAAAATATTTGTAAAGGCCTCAACAAAGCGTGGATTAAAAAAAAATATTTTTAAGGGTCTCAACAAGGCGTGGATTTTTTAAAAAATATTTTTAAGGGACCAACAAGGTGTGCATTTTTTAAAGAATATTTTTAGGGACCTATACAAGACGTGGATTTTTTAAAGAATGTTTTTAGGGACCTATGCAAGACGTAGATTTTTTAAAGAATATTTTTAGGGACCTATGCAAGACGTGGATTTTTTAAGGAATATTTTTTGGGACCTATACTAGACGTGGATTTTTTAAGGAATATTTTTAGAGACCTACACAAGACGTGGATTTTTTAAAGAATATTTTTAGGGACATATGCAAGACGTGGATTTTTTAAAGAATATTTTTAGGGACCTATGCAAGACCTGGAGTTTTTAAAGAATATTTTTAGGGTCCTATGCAAGACGTGGATTTTTTAAAGAATATTTTTAGGGACCTATACAAGACGTGGATTTTTTAAGGAATATATTTAGGGACCTACACAATACGTGGATTTTTTAAGGAATATTTTTAGGGACCCACACAATACGTGGATCTTTTAAATGACATTTTTTCAAAGGCCATCCTCAAACTCCATGATAATTTTAAATAAAAACAATTATATTTTTAAAATTTTTGTTTATTTTTATTGCAAAACTTAATCGAAATATATATTTATGTGAAAATAATAATGAAATATATTCAAAACTTAAATTATCAATAACAATATTGTTGTAGTTATTATTAGTTGTTCTATAAAATATATCATAATTACTAAAAGAAAAAGGAAGCAGTTACACAGAAAGAGACAGTTTTTACACAGAAAGATATAAGGCACACAGAAAATTGATAGTCGAAATTTAAAGGAAAAGAAAATAAAACAGAAATAGAAGAAGCAGTAGCTGAAAAATTATTACACCAGATCTTTAAAACAGATCTCAATTGACCCGCTCGCCAATTAATTTCTTCTTAATACTGCAGCTACGGCTACACTCAGGGCAGTCACGCTCAATACCGTCCACTTGGAATTGCCGCCCATCAACGATGGACTGCCATTACAGCCATCTGTATCACAAGCACAAATTGTCTGCAAATAGCCTTCATTGTCCGCGCTGAAACAACTGATACCCTCCTGTTGTGCCCGATCACGTTTCCAGCCACATTCACGAATAATACGCTGCTCGCCGGTCACTTCGATTTTCAGCACAGTTTTACGACAGAACGCTGTGGCATTGTGTGGACCCTCACATTCTTTCAGGAATTGATCATCGAGCGCGTTGCCGGGCGTACTCAAACGCAAGGTGATGCAATCTTCACGATTGTGCGAATTGCATTGATGGCAGCGGATGGCCTCAACTGTAACGAAAAGAGAAGAAATTCATAAATAAACGATTTTCATAAAAAAAATATTTTTAAGGGTCTCTATAAGGCAGAGACTTGATAAAGGTTTTTTTCAAAAGTCTCTTTGGCTTTTACAAGGCGTGGATTTTTTAAAGAATATTTTTAAGGGTCTTCACAAGGCGTGGATTTTTTAAAGAATATTTTTTAGGCGTCTCAACAAGGCGTGGATTTTTTAAAGAATATTTTTTAGGCGTCTCAACAAGGCGTGGATTTTTTAAAGAATATTTTTTAGGCGTCTCAACAAGGCGTGGATTTTTTAAAGAATATTTTTTAGGCGTCTCAACAAGGCGTGGATTTTTTAAAGAATATTTTTTAGGCGTCTCAACAAGGCGTAAATTATTTAAAGAATATTTTTTCCAGGGTCTCAACAAGGCGTGGTTTTCTTAAAGAATATTTGTTCAAGGATCTCAAAAAGGTGAGGATTTTTTAAAGAAAATTTTTCAGGGTCTAACTTAGGGATGGATTTTTTAAAGAATATTTTTTCAGGGGTCTATAGAAAGCGTGGATTTTTTAAAGAATATTTTCAGGGTCTAACTTAGAGATGGATTTTTTAAAGAATACTTTCAGGGTCTAACTTAGAGATGGATTTTTTAAAGAATATTTTCAGGGTCTAACTTAGAGATGGATTTTTTAAAGAATATTTTTTCAGGGGACTATAGAAAGCGTGGATTTTTTAAAGAATATTTTTCAGTGTCTAACTTAGGAATGGATTTTTTAAAGAATTTTTTTTTAGGGGTCTATAGAAAGCGTGGATTTTTAAAGAATATTTTTTAGGTGTCTATAGAAGGCGTGGATTTTTTAAAGATTTTTTCATTGACCTATAGAAGGCGTAGATTTATTAAAGAATATATTTAGGAGTCTCTACAAGGTGTGGATTTGTTGAAGAATATTTTTAGTGGTCTTCACAAGGCGTGGATTTTTTAACGACTATTTTTAAGGGTCTTCACAAGGCGTGGATTTCTTAAGGACTATTTTTAAGGGTCTTCACAAGGCGTCGGTTTTTTAAAGAATATTTTTTCAGGGGTCTATAGAAGGCGTGGATTTTTTAAAGAATATTTTTTCAGGGGTCTATAGAAGGCGTGGATTTTTTAAAGAATATTTTTTCAGGGGTCTATAGAAGGCGTGAATTTCTTCAAGAATATTTTTTAGGGGTCTATAGAATGCGTGGATTTTTTAAAGAATATTTTTTAGGGGTCTATAAAAGGCGTGGATTTTTTAAAGAATATTTTTAGGGGTCTATAGAAGACGTGGATTTTTTAAAGAATAGTTTTTTAGGAGTCTCAACAAGGCGTGGATTTTTTAAAGAATATTTTTTAGGGGTCTATAGAAGGCGTGGATTTTTTAAAGAATATTTTTTAGGGATCTATAGAAGGCGTGGAGTTTTAAAGAATATTTTTTAGGGGTCTATAGAAGGCGTGGATTTTTTAAAGAATATTTTTAGGCGTCTCAACAAGGCGTGGATTTTTTAAAGAATATTTTTTAGGGGTCTATAGAAGGCGTGGATTTTTTAAAGAATATTTTTTAGGGGTCTATAGAAGGCGTGGATTTTTTAAAGAATATTTTTAGGCGTCTCAACAAGGCGTGGATTTTTTAAAGAATATTTTTAGGCGTCTCAACAAGGCGTGGATTTTTTAAAGAATATTTTTTAGGGGTCTATAGAAGGCGTGGATTTTTTAAAGAATATTTTTAGGCGTCTCAACAAGGCGTGGATTTTTTAAAGAATATTTTTTTAGGCGTCTCAACAAGGCGTGGATTTTTTAAAGAATATTTTTAGGCGTCTCAACAAGGCGTGGATTTTTTAAAGAATATTTTTAGGCGTCTCAACAAGGCTTTAATTTTTAAAGAATATTTTTTAGGGGTCTCAACAAGGCGTGGATTTTTAAAGAATATTTTTTAGTGGTCTCAACAAGTCGTGGATTTTTTTTAAAGAATAGTTTTTTAGGGGTCTCAACACGGCGTGGATTTCTTAAAGAATATTTTTTCAGGGTCTAACTTATGGATGGATTTTTTTTAAGAATATTTGTTCAAGGATCTCAAAAAGGTGAGGATTTTTAAAGAATATTTGTTCAAGGATCTCAAAAAGGTGAGGATTTTTAAAGAATATCTTTTTCAGGGTCTAACTTAGGGATGGATTTTTTAAAGAATATCTTTTTCAGGGTCTAACTTAGGGATGGATTTTTTAAAGAATATTTATTCATGGGTCTAGGAGAGGCGAGGACTTTTAAAAGAATATTTTTTCAAGGGTCTCAAAAGGACTATTTTAAAGGCTCATCACAAGGCGTGGATTTTTTAAGGATTATTTTTAGATGTCTTTACAAGGCGTGGATTTTTTAAAGAATAATTTTTCAGGGGTCTTCACAAGGCGTGGATTTCTTAAGGACTATTTTTAAGGGTATTCACAAGGCGTGGATTTCTTAAGGACTATTTTTAAGGGTCTTCAGAAGGCGTGGATTTCTTAAGGACTATTTTTAAGGGTCTTCACAAGGCGTGGATTTCTTAAGGACTATTTTTAAGGGTCTTCACAAGGCGTGGATTTCTTAAGGACTATTTTTAAGGGTCTTCACAAGGCGTGGATTTCTTAAGGACTATTTTTAAGGGTCTTCACAAGGCGTGGATTTCTTAAGGACTATTTTTAAGGGTCTTCACAAGGCGTGGATTTCATAAGGACTATTTTTAAGGGTCTTCACAAGGCGTGCATTTCTTAAGGACTATTTTTAAGGGTCTTCACAAGGCGTGCATTTCTTAAGGACTATTTTTAAGGGTCTTCACAAGGCGTGGATTTCTTAAGGACTATTTTTAAGGGTCTTCACAAGGCGTGGATTTCTTAAGGACTGTTTTTAAGGGTCTTCACAAGGCGTGGATGCGTGAGTATTTTTTGAGGGCGTAGATTTTTAAAGAATATTTTTTGAGGGCGAAGATTTTTAAAGAATATTTTTTAAAGACCCATACAAGGCGTGGATTTTTAAAGAATATTTTTTAGAGACCCATACAAGGCGTGGATTTTTAAAGAATATTTTTTCAGAGACCCGTTGATTTTTTAAGGTCATTTGACCTTTATTGTTTGCTGGACTCCAATTGAACATCACATTATTTCCAGCACGTTTGTTCTTGTCCGCAATTACGCAATTTAAAAGAGAACATCATTTAAATGAAATGAGCTTCCTATGGGTGCTATGCATTATAATTGTACTTAATAAAATTTAAAAAAATCAATTAACATTGGAGGATAATCTGATGATATTTTTATATATGTAAATTAAAACTGTATTCATTAAGGATATTAAATTAATGTCAAAGAAATAAACAAAAAGAACAAAATTCCGCTTCCGAAAAAATATTCAAAATCCAAACTTATAAAAAACTAAAGCATACATTTATGAACCATTTCGAAAATAGAGAGGTTATTTTTAAAAAATCTCTGCCTTCCGATAATCTTTATTGCATTTTAAATGCCCTCAAAACTATTTGATGAATAATAATTACAACAACTTGCAATACAATGGTGATAAGCCACGAAATGTTTACTAAAAGCCTGTGAGTTTTAAAACAACAACACTCAATCACACACACAAATCCAAACACCATACCCCAGTTCCACATATTGGTCAAGTTCAAAGTTGTATTTTGAAAACTATTTCCTTACTCATCATCGAATGCCTTCAAATGCACAAACGACAGATATCACCCACCAAACACTTTCATAACCGGACACCCGACCGCCCTCTTCCCCTTACATACAACCCAACAATATGAGTGACGATTGCCAATGCAAAATAAAAACAACAACAACAATAAAAACTATTCGCATTCTGGCAGGCACTAGGAATATTTTTATTTGTCCATCGAATGTTTGGAATATAAACAAATTGGAAAAAAATAAAAAATGCAAAAATTATGCAAATATTGCCACTGCCATTTCTCTGCCACGGCTTTGTCTCTTTGCTGTTGTTGTTATTGGTTTGTTATTTGTTTGTTTATAATAATTTCCCATATCAATATTTAGTTTTCATTTATTAGTTAGTTTGGCCTGACAGTACGTACGACGCACGTACTTGCACAATGCAATGTGACTAAATAAATAAAACGGGGGAAGGGGTGTCAATGTGAAATAGAAAACAAGAAAATAGGTTCTGTTGTAGGAAATTGTGGTAGAATCTGCAATATAGGGGAATCACAGAAGAGTTATTCATGAATTAGATTATAAACATGTAAAAACTTCAGCCAGATCGAAATTTTTATACCCTTTGTCTAACATCGATCGAGACTTTTATATCATGATATATTTTTGGAAGGAAGATTTGACACCTAAAATGTCATATTCGAGAGAGTGAAGTTGAAAAATGTGTTCGCAATCTCCAACAGACCGAATATTGTGAGATGTCCCTATATGGGACCTATCCCGAAACATATGTCTATACAGGTCATATTTGGTGTGTAGGTTTCCTGCCGAATGATAATCTAAAATACTATAATATTTAGTCAATGTTGTTGGAAATCGTATCCAATCTTCCCAAAATATAGAAATTTGAAGGCTACCCTAAAAAGTGGACCAATATTGATAATTTATGTTAGGAAGATTTGCCACCTATAAAGAACCAAAATATTGGCAAATTCCCTTGAAACATGAGACATGGAATTTTTCTGGATACTTATGTATGGGGCTATGACAAAACGTGGACCATTATCAACATACAGAGGCGGACATAACTAAAATTCCTTAATTCGGCTTCTGCTGTCTTCGAAGCCCTCCTCTTCCTTCCTCAACACACTCTGTGGCACAGGGTATTATGTCTTTGTGCATATATTTATCGATCGATTTATGCATGTCCGTCCGACTTTCCGTCTGTCTGTCCATGTTAAATTGTAAACAACGTACAGGTCGAATTTATGATTCCAATTGGATGCAATTTGGCACAGCTCATTTATTTGGCCCAAGGACAAACCCTATTGAAATT